TGATTTGTAATTTAATTTCATTCATACGTTCATGACAATCAATAAAATTATGATATATAATTTTTTTTTCAAAGACAAATTAAATATATCATAACCACGACCCGAATCTATTCCTAACCCGAATTCGAATGATTAGAATTCATTAAAATTTAGATTATCTATATGATTGCATACTTGATAAATGTTATTTCTAACATCTATTGCACATATGTTAATTTTATCGCGTTCTAAACTTATTGTGAGTCTCCCAACACTACAATAAGTAACTAATGATCTAATTTGTGACCAATCAATTAAATAATGCAATGCGTATGCAAAATTAATCAAGTAACGCAAGAAATAAATTAAATTACTAATCTTGAATTAAAAATAAATAAATAATACGGTTCATCTTCATCTAATACAAAAAGGGATCTATCCTAGCACGTTAATATATAAATTATAAAAAGAATAATAGAAAAATATCACTTGGATCATGAAATAAATTAAAGGATGTCGATCTTCAAGCCCAATATTGAATTCTTCAAAACTTTTATTTCTTGTTAGGGCTTGATATCTTCTCAAAATATAGTAATTGACCACTTTTTCTTGATGAATTTGATGATAGTATTGTGTATGAAGAGGCAAGAGAAGTTTTTTCAATGTGTAGCCCTCGTTCTCTATTTATAAGAGCCAGAAAATAAGTCAAAATCGTGTTCAATTTGGTTCCAAAAGAGTTTGAATTGCGAAAGGAAATCGTTGATTCATCTGCAAAAATGGCATGCGATGTGCATAGGCATAACCACCGTGCGTGCGCCATTGGGCCAAATGGCTCTTGGGTTGGGAGAAATAGGGTACCGAGTGCACGCCATGAATTGCCCGCGCGCGCAGGTTCGCTTCGATTCGTCCATGAGCAGCTTTCAATAATTTGACCATAACTTTCTATAAAAATATCTGATTGAGGTGATTAAAGATGAGTTAGAAATATAATTCAAAAGGCTACAATTCTTCTACAAATACAATTTTTCCAATACGAGCGTTTGTTATCCACAAAATGGGTCTCAAGTTGAGGCTAAAAATTCGGAGTATAACTTATTCGGCTGGAAATTGATTTGTGAAAATACTTCCACCATATTTCACTCCTTTGACCTCCAATTGCATCCAATTGTTCATATATGATCTTCAATCATCATTTTGTGATCGGAATCGACAATTGAATTTTTACACTTTGGTCCCCAAATTTTGAATTTCTTTCATTTTCGCAAGTTTTTCGTCCATTTATTTCAAATCTACCAATTTGCATTGAGTTCTAGCGAACAAACATAATTAACACAAAATTAAGCTATAACTAATCCAAATCACTACCAAATATTCTAATTTAATGGTCTAAATAAGTGTATAAAATA